AAATCTGTGAAACATCCCATGGCCTTCAATATCCTTCAATCGCTTAAGTTGTTTTTTGATGGGCATATGATCTAACAATTAAATAATTAATCTATATTATAATTATGCGTAGTTTGGGACTTCAGGACATGTGTGAAAATTTTGCCGAAACATATGCCAATTATCCAGGCCGCTGGGCAGCTGCCTCTGAAAGGGTTGGGTCAAAACTGCTGGAACCCTGCTGGGGTGAAAAACACATCCAGTGTTGAAATGTTGAAACCGTTGAAACCATGGGATGTCACAAGGCACAATGGGGAAATCATGCTGAGATTGTTTTTTTAAAGTTTGGGCTACCCCCAAACGTTGGGGTAAACACTTAAAAAAAACGGTTTCAGACACCCAGATTATGTCTAGTTGGGAAAAATCATATGTCATCTCATCATATAAATCATCTCCCCATGATGTTCCCATCTTGGTCAAAACATTGTTTTGCCTTTGATGAAATGCCTATGTTTGACCCGCACCGTACCCAGCATCTCCGAAGAAGATGCGGAGAAAAGATCTTCGTACAGCTGCAAAAATGGTGGTGCGAATCATGGGATTTGATCCCAACTTGAGGTGTTTATCGAAACAAAGGTATTTAAGAACTGAATTAATCTGGTCGGTGGTTTCAAACAAGTTTTCCATCACATATGGGATGTCATCCTTCCCATTGACGAACTCATATTTTTCAAGATGTTTTTTATTTTTTACCCCCAACCAGTAGTGGAAGTGGGTGATACAGTAACACACCAAACATACTCAAACATGATAATTTTTCAGGATATAATATGATACAATCTTCGGAATGAAATTGGATTTCAAACCAGTACCATATGATTTTGTGTGTCTGAGTCAGCGGACGACTTACCCGGACCCAAAAACAGCCAGGTGAAAAATGCGATCAACCATAGCGGCTATTGGAGTTCCTTACTCTTTAGAGAAAGCCACATTCAATGGATTGGTTTCAGGGAAAATTTACAGGAAAGCCCCATATTTAATCGGAAAATCTTTGGTTTCCTGTAGATTTTCCCTTGAACCAATCCATTGACACATGCCTTAAGAATACCATTTTTCCAGCCAGCACTATGTTTCTTGAATAATGTCAGCAAACACAATGAACTACCGTAAGCTTTGGAAAGTGCTGGTAGCAGGTTTCCGACCAATTCGATTCCCGATACCACTGGACCCGGATCTCGGTATTTTCACATCGAAGCTCAGGGGGGCTTTTACAAGACCAAAATATGGCTTGTACCATATCAACAAATGTGCTTGTACCCTGAATAAAATAAAAAGGGCGCACCCAGAAAGAACCTCCTAAAAGAAACATCTGTTTTGAAACTTCTTCACAGATTGCGATCATTTTTCCCACTCAAATTGCCAGTTTTGAATGTGGAAATACCTGGAATATCTCCACGGCAGGTGGATCGTTTGGCGGTGGCGGGCGAGATTCTCGCCTCAGCGGCTCAGGTGGTACCGAAAAACCGGCGAACCGTGAGATGTTTGTTGCTTTCGAAATCACATTCATCAAATAAGCCCGGAAATCCCTATCCCCTATAAAATGATAGGAAAATTATGGGAAGCCCTTGAAATGATAGGCAATCCCCACACCAAGCTTTAACTGGAGGTTTTAATAGCAAAACCATCTATAAACAGAATACATTTTCCATTGCCACACGTTGCCTTCACTTCACTCAGTCCAGGGTGTGATCCCCAAAAAGGCAGAGAAGAGAAATCCCATTCAAATATATAATTCCGTTCGATTTTTTTTTGGGGGGGGATTGCTGTATATGTCAGAGTCAGACTTATATGGGGAAAGAGTGGCGGATAGAATGCCAGAAATCATGTCAGAATATATGTCAGATAGAGTGCCAGATAGAATGTCAGACAAGATGCCAGAATGTATGTGAGATAGAATGTCAGACAATATGTCAGATAGAACCTTCGGGATGGCGATGGAGAGAGATGTCAGATAGAAAAGGGTGTCAGATAATGTCAGAATATATGTCAGAGTCTGTCAGTATGTCAGGCAAGATGTGGTTATCAAATTTGATGATCTCCAGGTTGGTGGGTCCAGTGGATCGTGTGGGGCTCAGCCAGCTTTGATTATGATGGCTTCAGGCTATACGGGGAATTCTCACAGCAATGGCGCAAATGTTCAGTGAATTTCCAATTTTAAGATGTGTTAGGGACTTACATTATGACATAGATTATGACGAGTTGTTCTCGCCATACAGCTAGTATAGAAACCAGTATTTGCTATACACCTGTAATGCTTATAACTAAACTTTAAAGCTTGGCAAACCTGCAGGCCAAAGGGGGCGGCAACGCCCGCGGCAGAAATTTAGAAATTGCGGGTCAAAATAGCGGGCCACCCTCCAGCCACTTTTCCCCGAACTAACTCTTGCAGCTCTCCCAGGCCCACCCCCAACTGTTTCCACCCAGGTTCTCCCAGGAAATCCCGGAAACCCCACAAAATCGCAGAAAAGAACACCCAGGTTCTCCCAGGAAATCCCACAAACCCCACAAAATCGCAGAAAATAACACCCAGGTTCCTCCCAGGAAATCCCGGAAACCCACAAAATCGCAGGAAATCACTAATTTCCTGGGAGAACCTGGGAGAACCTGGGAGAACCTGTGGGAGAACGTGGGTGTTGGGATTGACCTGGGCAGACTTAGGCGGACCTGGGCCGACCTGGACGGGGTTTGCCTGAATAAACCACGCATATGTAAACCAGAGCAGAATTGGATAAAACACCACTAACAAATAGTGCTGAGCCAACACCATTTTGATATCTATCCTGCACCATTCAAAAACCAATTTTAACACCCAGAAACCCTCAAAAATTAAAACCCAGCCCCAGAATCCTGATTTATATTATATGCATTACAGGGGTTTATCAAACCAGTATTGTTTGCCGATAGGAACAACGCACCATGGGGCGAAATCGACCAGGAATTTGCTTAGAACAAAAGAACGCAACAATCTCATTTTCCGCGTTATTGACATGTGTTCCTTCCATGATTGGGATGGTGCAAATGTTTTGGGACATCCTCAATGGGCACATATGGCGATGGAACAATGTGTGAATTTGGATGTTCCCATCCTTACCTGGCAGAGAAAAATCATGAAAAGGGTATCATGTAGGATCCAATAGTATAAACAATAATTGTTGCTTCACCCCACTATAAATGCGTGTTTTTTCCATTGCCATTTTGTGTGCGTTATCGAAGGCTACAGCAGTCCTAAACCCACCTGCCTCCATTAAAGCTGGCAAATCAATGCAAATCAGGTACTGTATATATAATTATATATACGAGTATGTGTGTGTGCGCGTGCTGCTTCACAAATGTACACCAACATATCAAGGTGACTCAAGATGACCTATACAACGTCCATTCCCAGCATTTTTTGTCCCAGAGTTGATTCCTGTTACCCAACGCGGCCGCGCCTAGTTGGAGTCCGGAGTTGCGTGTGTCTTCAAGGTGCTAACTGGCTGAAACGGACCATGGAATTACATAGCAGTAGCGATTCCTAATGATCCCGAATCGTAGCTATTTACTATCTAGTGAAGTAAATCCATGGCTAATCTACTAGGTAGTAAAACCGGACGGTTATGCCTTGGCTAAAGAGGTAGCCCTCAAGATTAATTAATGATGGCTAGTTTTTCCAGGTTTCGAGCGACAGAAGTGGACCGGTCTCATCATAGGCCATACAGATTCATAGATATCATAGATCATGATCACGTTTGAATTATATTTACTTCTAATACATCATTGTAGTTGGTCAAGTGCAACTCACTGATTCCTGAAATATTGTCTTTTGAACTAACGCGCTTTGCTCCTATTCTTCGGCAACATTTGGGCTGGCTGTGTTGGTTGCAGCCGGCTGGTGCTTCCACCACGGCCGTGGCCAGAGCAGAAATTAATGATGCAAAGGGAAAGCATGGAACATTCTGTGTTCGGATCGGCCCAAATATGTTGTTGTTGATTCTTAGTTTTTTATAGTTTTATCATGTTTTTATCACAATTGTCATTATTGTCATTTTTTAAATATATATATATAGCATTATCGAAGGAAGTTTAGAAGCCAAACTTCCGACAATATGGGCAGATGAAAAGCAGAGCAGGGCAGAGGCAGAGAGAAGAGAAAGATTAGAAGAGAGAAGATCAGAGAAGAGAAAGAGTCAGAAGAAAGAAGATGCAGATGCGCGAAATGGTAGGAAAGTCGCGAAGCACTGTGTTTTTCTAATGATTTGAGGCTCCGGAGGGTCGAAAAGTAGGCTCGCTAAAGCAGCGGGTGCGGAGCCAGCTGGCCAGATGAGAGATGAAAAAGTGCAAGCTGTTGTGGCGCGAAGCACATTTCGAAGTCAACATGTACAAAAAAAAAGGAACAATGCTCGGACCACTTTTGGAAGTTGAGATGTCGAAAAAGTGAACGCCGTTGTGGCGCGAAGCACATTTCGAAGTCAAAATGTACAAAGCACTTCAGCCTCGGACCACTTTTGGAAGTTGAGATGTCGAAAAAGTGCACGCCGTTGTGGCGCGAAGCACATTTCAAAGTCAAAATTTTAAAAACATTAGGGTTCGGACCACTTTTGGAAGTTGAGATGTCGAAAAAATGCACGCCGTTGTGGCGCGAAGCACATTTCGAAGTCAAAATTTTAATTACTTTACTTCGTGTGATCCCCACCATGAAATTTATACATTTTGTTACTGGCAAATCTTCTGGCATTCTATCTGACACATCTTCTGGCATTCTATCTGGCATATTTTCTGGCATTCTATCTGGCATATCTTCTGGCATATTATCTACTCAAATCTTCTGGCATTCTATCTGGCAAACATTCTGGCACTTTATCTGGCATATCTTCTGGCATTCTATCTGACATTTTATCTGGCATTCTATCTGGCATACCATCTGGCATATCTTCTGGCATTCTATCTGGCATTTTATCTGGCATTCTATCTGGCATACCTTC